CTAAATGATTTCTTGTAGCACATAAACTTTGTCTTCCAAAGGAGAAATTTAACTGAAACAATTCATCTTAACTATTTGTGAATATAATTTTTTTTTGTTGTACTTCATCTGTTTTCTTCTTTTCCTTTTTTTTGTGGATGTCATGAATATTTTTACAATTTTTCACCTCTTCAACTTTCCACAAATCTGTGCTTGAAATTTATTCATATTGTCTTTGAAAGAATAATTAGAATGTCTGTCATCAGCATTTTCTGCAGATGACCTAAATTATCATAAATGTGCATCCTTGCCTTCACACTAGTACTCATAATTTAATGATATTTTTATGAAGCCCAAGGCAAAATACAGTTAAATACTAGAGTACCTCTGCTGTCAAAAATAATGGAAATTGTTAGAACTGAGATGCAATGAAATAAAACAATTTCTTGCGATTCAATAAAGTGAAGATCCAGAATTTACAAGTAAAACAGACATTGATGAACCATTTAATTAATCTATTGTCTTTATATTTTTTAGATGGCTTAGATTCATGGCTTACTCTTGATATTATGTCAGTTGCTTTTAGCTCAGTATTTATTGGTGTTAAAAATTTTATGTGTTTAATATATTTTTTAATTATGTTCACCTCAAGCAAATCAGTGAAGCCACAGAAACACAAGGGGTTACTAGGTGTGGAAGACTTAGAAACAGGAATATTGCTCTTTGGAAGCCGTCATAACCAAGAGTTTCAATGTACTGGCATTTTTCAAACAGTTGATCATGTCCAGATTGTGCACTGTCTCATAAAAACTGTAAATAGGGCCTGCTCAGCATAGTAGAGCAAATGCGAATGTGCCTGAGCAAGCATCTGAAAAAGGAATTGGCTTGCCATCCTAGCAGATTGGTGGCCTTGGAAACACATAGCTGGCCATTTTTTTTATCAACTCTTATACAGCTGTTTTTTATGAAATAAAAGCCCAGAAAATCTGCCTTTTGAGGCCAGAAAATAGGATTTGAACTCATTTTTGTTTTTAAATCTTTGATATATTTTTATGAAACTTCGACTATAACCTGTTTTTTGCCAATTTTTCAAGTTGAAGAAGAAACAAATGTTGGAATTATGCACTGAATATCTTTCAAAAGAGACAGAAAGCTGAGCAGAATCAGACATTTTGACAATCCTTCATTAAAACAAAAGTAGTTCCATAGTTTCAAGTTTAAAAATCAAAGTCAACAGCAAAAATCTTTTTTTCTTTCTTATGCAATTACATGAAAATAATATCTACATTTTTTCTTTTCTTTCCATCAAGTATATTTACGTTTCTTACCAAATATACATGGAACAATGTGGTAGACATGAGGAAAACAACTTTTTTTCTAACTTTGTATTCAGACAAAAAAATATAATGATCAAACTAAACTGCACATTCGGAAAAAAAAAGCCTCCAGCCAATTCTGAAAAAGTCAAGCCATTCTTAGGTGTCTGCTACTTTTTTTCCTGTTAAAATTTTTGATTATGTGTTAATCTTGAAGAACAAAGCAGAGAAATTGATTTTGCAGGATTTTCTAACTGCAGAATGCAATCAATTATTCAAAATTCTTGGCTGTCATTCTCAAGAGTCTTGTTTTGACTTGATTTCAGTTAAAAGTTTGGCAAATCAGAAAATTTGGCATTTTTTTTCTACTTTTAGTTTTTCTATATATCATTTTTTTTAATTTCATATATTTTCACCAAAAGGCATTTTAATCACTACTAAACAATTAGTCAGACATTTCTTGTTTTATCACAAAACATTTCTAAAGAGCTTTTTTACTCTCACCTCATATTCTTATTTTGCATTTTAGTAAAAAGTTTACATTAGTCATTTATATTTTTAGCCTCCTCAACTTATCAATTGTACATCTGAAGATAATTGACTAACCAAAGTGGGCTGATGATAACGAAAGTAATCAGAAGAATGAATTATTTCTTTTCAAATTTAAGAAACCAATATTTTTTAATCTGTAATATACACAAGACAGAAATCTATGTGTCCTTTCACTAAGAAGGAAAGATCTCCAGTTTTTACCAGAAACATCCAAGACATTTTTGCATAGTAGCACACAGGAGAAAACATCAAAAGAGACAGAGACATTTCAAAAGAGACACTCACCAAATTTGGAAACCAAATATAATGAAAAAACTAGAGTTTGGAGGAACATTGTTTATTTAATGAATGCATCCATTAAAATATTTTTGATCCCCCCCTGCCCAGTGTCATTGAGTGGCTTCACTCTATTAGGCAGAAAGGTAACCAGCTCTGCAATTTCTATCCAAGTACAATGCAGAAGTTGAAGTTATTCCTCACAGGAACGACCATTTGAAGCAGTTCCTCACAAGAACAACCGTTTCTTAAATAGTGATCTGTCTAATAAGACTCAGACATTCAGTAGGGTTTATATCTGGTACCTGACTTGCCCACTGTAGAACTTGAACCCTATTTTTCTCCAGCTACACTTTAGTCACTTTTGCAGCATGACATGGAACACCATCTTGCATGAAATATTTGGTGTTCTTGGCCATTTGATAATTAGAACAGATAAAATGTCTTTCTTGAAGGATTGAAATATATTTTGCAGCATTAAATTTGCCAGTGCATTCCACAATGACTGAGTGACCAGTCTTCCAAATTGCTCTCCAGACTATTGCCAAAACCCCATCATGTTTGACAGTTTCAGGTGGAAAACTCTTAAGTGGGTTTCCTCCAGACCTAGATTCATCCATTGGCAGAGAATTGAGCAAAGGATATTTGTCCATGAAGATTACACTTTACCACAAATCTGCTATTATACAATTCCTTTCTTTTCTTAATGTTCACTGAGGTGTGAGCAAATACTTGTATCAAGTGGCCCCCTTCTTGATAATCATTGCTAAGGACATATTTCAATGCTGTTTAATAGCTGCTGCTATGTTAGAAGCTTTTTTGGGAGTTTTGCTCTTCACAGACTGCTGCACTGCTCGGAGACACCTGTTTGAGGGTCCAAGTTTTCAATAACATGGTGATACATGTTCGCTTCTTTCATTTCTAAACTGAGTGATGAACTTCTTCAGTGTAACAAGAGGGATATTAAGGTTTTCTGAACTAACCAATTCCTTCTGATTCTCCCCAAATTCTGTTCCTTAAAAAACTTAACAATTCTACTGACACTCGGGATATTGTTATGTTGGTTAAGACCTTCAATTCTGAAAAGAAACAATAGAGATTTGTTAGATTCTGTAGGGTATTGGAGCCTCATGAGATAGAAAGATGAAAATGGGGGTGGTGTCTATTTACTTTTCTCATGTCCATGTATATAACAGGAGTAGATAGGTTTGTCTATCATCCAGTTCATGCTCCTCCCTGGTCTTTTGAGCAGGACTAGAGATTTATCCCTGGTTTTCTGTTTAGGATTAGGTTTCTGGTTCCTTCTAAAGACTACTTTAGCTCTATACTCCTAACACTTGCCCTTTCCTATGCTAATCCAATACCACTTAGTAACCCTCTACCTTGAGTGGCTCTTAGGCCTTGTATTGGGTAAATATTAGTAAAAAAAAAAAAAAAAAGGTCTTGTCACCTATGTTTCTCACAACCCAGTACTGATTAACTAGTGGTGTTACTATAATTCACGAGAATTTATAACAAGTAATAAATAAAATAACTATTTTAACATAAAAATACATGGAATTATCTACAAATAAATTTTTTCAAGAACTTAGAAACTATTGAACACTAATTTGTTATGTTACTGATTTCATTAATATAAATTAATAGTAATAGAAATAAAATGAATAACTAATAATAGTAATTAGTACAAATTATAAAACATTCAACTCCTATTTGCCTTTTTTTCTGTCTGGTTTCAGAGATTGGTAAAAGTCAAGATTTCAAGGAATGTTTCTTCTCTCCTACTAGGAAAATTGACACAACACAACCTTCCTATTTTGGCTTTGTGTTATTTTAAGCTAAGTTTAGTACCTATCAGCGATCACCCCCTGCACAAGATTCAGAAATAAAATAATTCTATTTCCTTATGAATCAATTGAAATTAAATCTGGGGGAATGATTAAATAGGAATAAGGAAATAGGAAAATCTAATATAAATTTGTCACATTTTATTTAAGCTCAAATGTTCTCAATCAGGGGAGAAGTCCTCCCCAGGAGGGAATTTTTTGGTATTTTTTAAAACTTTTTCTTGCTTTTTAGAGCCAATCATAAATGTTAAAAAAAAAGTCCTCTCTATAAAAATAATCCATGTAAATGTAGTAATTTGAAAAAGAATGAAGATTTCCAATAATATATACATATTATTTGGAATTCAACTTTTGAGTCAGATAATGTGGAAAGAGAGGGAATGACATTCTGATATATGGTGACGGGGGGTGGGCATCGGGCAGAAACGGTTGAGAACAGCTGATTCACCAGAAATTTGGGGAAGATTTTTGGCAGATTTTTCTAATTTTTAAATTCTGTTTTATTTTTTTATTATTGTAGATATCTCATATGCATTTTTATGACATGCATTTTATGACATTTATTTTTATGACATATGTATTAAAAATATGTATGTCATAAAAATAAATATGTATTTTTTATGATATATGTATTTTTTATGACATATTTATTTTATGACATATGTATGTATATATTAATTTTGGTGTGTGTGCTTGTTTAATTTTTACAGAACAAGCTTAAATTATTTTTTTATATTGATCTTAAATGATTGACTCTACTGTTACAATTCATCATATAACCATAGCTATAGAGCCCACTACCCCATTATGCTAGATGACCATTGACCCTGCTGAGTGTTTAAGCCCCCTCTTGATTACCAGAAAACCCTGATAGAATAATTGGTTTAGTCACCAATGACCCAATAATATAGCAGGTAGTAATAGGTTACATGGTACCGGTAGCAATCATAAAGTGACCTGATATAATACTGAACACTACAAAGTGTCATACTCTCCCTCAGCTGCCCTCTCACGACACTACTGCCCTCAGCTGCCCTCTCACGACACTACTCCTCAGCTGCCCTCTCACGACACTACTCCTCAGCTGCCCTCTCACGACACTACTCCTCAGCTGCCCTCTCACGACACTACTCCTCAGCTGCCCTCTTACGACACTTCTCCTCAGCTGCCCTCTCATGACACTACTCCTCAGCTGCCCTCTCACGACACTACTCCTCAGCTGCCCTCTTATGACACTTCTCCTCAGCTGCCCTCTCATGACACTACTCCTCAGCTGCCCTCTCACGACACTACTCCTAATCTTTATTTCTTACTACCTATTCTTTCATTCATATTGCACACGACATTCATCATAATCATTTTTACAGTAACCCTCTATATTGAGTGACTCTCAAGCCTTGTATTGAATGAATATTTTATTTTTTTTAAAAGTGCACATACTGTACCAGTTATATCACAACATTGTTTTTCATAATGTAATTTTATTTTCTGTCAGTGTATATATTAAATGATAGGTGTGCATGGTATGTATGTGTATGCATTTATGGGTGTGTACATCTGTGTGTATACAGTTTGTAATACAAAATATTATAGCCACTGATTATCTCAGGACCGTCATTCCAGGATTTTTTTTATGTGTGTGTGTCATTGTTCTTATTTGATGCCAACAGAATCTAGTTTCTTTGATGAGGACATCTGAAGGTTAATACTTGGTGCTTTGGCATCGAGTTTCTCCAGTGCTGGCATCTGAGAAAGTGCATTCTTTGAATATTGCCATTCATGACAACCAGCACATCCGTTACAGTTCGGTCTTTGGAAATCGGTCAAGCTTCTTTGATAAGATCTTACATGATAGTTCCCCCAAGAGAATCACTTCTTAAAGTGCACATATGAAGACAATTGTGCATTGATATTATCAGTGTTGTTAATGATTTCTATACCTGAGGGGATCTCCCGAAACACAGGCTTCAATTTGATTACTTCAGGAAAGCTTTTTTGGTAATGTGTAGCCATTTTATTAAAAAACCAGTTTTCTGTCTTTTAAAAAGCACAGATATCATGATTTTCTGGAAATGATTTGCTATCTTGTTTTGAAAAATTTTTTTTCATCACTTTCACTAATTAATAGCTGATTGTCTTTTTTTATTTATATTTCCTAGAATTTTTCAATTGAAACAAGAAAAAATGATAATGGAAATATGCCTCCAATTCTTGAAAATTGAATAAAATTGGTAAACTTTTTTGGAAGGTGATAATATGGTTAGTGTCTCTGAACATGAAAGCAGTGAATCTAGTTTGAATTGCAGTTGAGTTTATTACATTCATTTTTGGGTAAATACTCTTGTGAAAGGTATGACTCCATCACTTCTTCCCCCAACTATAGGTGAAATAGTACATGGGGCTCTTTAGCTTTCATTGGAAAACAGAGAAATAACTCTGAATTCAAAACCATAAGTTACATGCTAACAGTTTCTTCTGTTTCACTTCTCACTCATGAATCTCTCTTTACGCTTCTTGCTTCCAATCAAATTTGATCTTCAAAAATATAAATGAAATGTTAATATTTATCTTTATTCATAATTCCTGTTATTTTATTGTTCTCTCTCCTTAATAATGTTTCCTTTTTCTCATATTCTCTCACACTAAGTAACTCATCACATCCTAGTGGTTTTATTGCCATGCTGGGGGCAAAATGATAAAAAAAACTTGGACAGAGTTAGCAACCCCATCATCTTGTAAAAACTTACATTGCTACAGAAGCCATGGTAGGAACATAAAGAATATTGACATTTCTAACACTTACTCCACAGTGGAATTTATAGGACTTCAGTCATTCAGTGATTTTATATATATATATATATATATATATATATAATCGGTGACTATATATATATATATATAAAAGAAAGAGGTTGTAGTGGTTCCAACAAGAGAAAAGTATGTATATTAAAAAAGAAGAGGTGCTGCAAACGTTTTTGGTTGTAATGTGGATTTATGTGTGTGTGTGTGTCACACACACATATAAATCCACATTACAATCAAAACGTTTGCGGCACCTCTCTTCTTCTTAATATGTATTAATATATATATATATATATATGTATGTATGTATGTAATATCAGTGACTATATATATATATATATATATGTATATATGTATGTATGTATATAATCTGTGACTATATATATATATATATATATATATATATATATATATATATATATGTATGTATATATATATATATATATATATATATATATATTTATAAAAATATATAACATATATATATAAAAATCACTAAAAATATATATATATATATATATATATATATATATATATATATATATAATCAATGAATATATATATAGAGAGAGAGAGAAAGAGAGAGAGATTATTACAAGTAAAAGGTTTGTCACTTTTTGATGTTATCTCCAGGAATCACTCCGGCCACTCATCAGAAGGTGTCAGCAACTGACTGTTTACATTTCTCAACTTTTCTTTTTTATATGCACTTTTCATTGATGGAAGTTTTTTTTTCATAGTGTATGTGTGTACTATTTACATTGTTCGAACTATCGTCCTCATCTTTGTTGCCATATTTTTCACTGTTGTACACTTTGATTGTCTTCAGGTCATTGAAATGTTGAACTGAACACTTTATTTCACTTGCTGGGGTAGACTGTTCTAGTTTCACGTGCCATGTCTGATGGATGTCAGTTATCAGTTATCTTTTGTTAATTTCCCTCTCCAAGTTCTCTACCACCTTAACCAGGTATTGAACTCACACTCTTTGGGTCCTGTCACTGGATCTAACTAACATCTTTATCCACAGAAATATAGACAAATAGTGTATGTATGCATTTTGTGTAGAATGTTGTGATTATTTGTCATTTTTGTCTTTTTTTTTCACTGTACAGTTATTCCTTATTAGTTTATTTTACTTTCTTTTCTTCTTACACATTTCTTTCAGTTATATATATATATATATATATATATATATATATATATATATATATATAATGGAGAAGGCTTTGTGCAGAGCCAACCACTACTCCACCATGCCTCATATATATGCACTGGGTCACGTTTCATTTATTTCTACATCTTTCTGACCATAGCTCTATTAAATCTCATTTAATACTCAAGGAGACCTACTGTACCCTATTCATAACATACTTGTTGATAACGCAAATATAATAGCATCATCTAGATGTAAAAAAAAAGGTCTAAAAATAATGCAAGTTTTATAAATAAAAACAAAATACCAACACTCAATAATATCAACTATGAACATAGACACACTATCTTGACCGTGTTTTGAAAACGAAAATATGCATACATACAACAATCTATTTCTTGTTAACAGTTAATATATTTCAATCTTGAAAATGGACAAATGTGTAACCAAAAGAGTTTGGAAAAAAACAACAATTGGACAGTTTTTATATAATTTATCTACTGAAAAGAAAAAAATTATAAGAGCACATGAAAAATTGTATAAAACACTTAATCAAATCACCTTGTCTGTTATATTTAATGAAACTTGCATGAAAGAAGGATTGCTGCCTAAATATGCAATACATATATATGAACAAATATAGTTTTGAGGTGTGCTATATTTATGGGATAAAGTGCTCAATATCAGAGATAGAGCATATGTAAATATAAATATAAAAGTGAACATTGAAGTCAACACTCAGAGGCGACAGGAATGTTTCATGGTGGGCACAATCATCAGGTGGCCTGATGATTGTGCCCAGCATGAAACAAGTGTTGACGTCAATGTTCACACACACACAAATATATATATATATATATATATATATATATATAATGTATATGGAACCGTCATATAACCTGACTTGCTTTACTGATTTAGCCATAGAGGAGCATTTCAGTTAGCAAGGTCGATTTTACTGTTTAATGGAGAATTGTATTTTAAAAAACAATATATATATATATATATATATATATATATATTCTGTGTAGACCTAGAAAACAACACTTTATATCTTCAAATGCCCTAATTCCAGTACTGAGCATTCTTCCACTATGAATAGAGCTGCTCAACCCTCACTTCCAGTCTTCATAGAGTGCAAAATTGTTTATGCAGTAATATGAGAGAAGACATGTTTTCCATTTTACTGTCTCTTTCACCACAGATGAAATGTTGCAAGGCTTTTGCTACTTGATTCGTTATTTCCAAAGTTCTGATGAACTCTATTCTTTAGTTTTATCAGTTTAGTCACTCTCATTTTCTTCATATTCCCAAAATAAGAAGAAAGTTTTATTCAGCTTTTTCCTAAGAACTACTCTTATACAGGTGCTTCCTTGAAGACTTTAATTTGGAACCCTTCAAGTCAAGGGTCAATTGTTATCACTTCCTCCTATTTTGACTTTCTACCGTCATCATCATCAGAGCTGTTTCGACTTGATGATGGTTCAATGTAGATCAGTGTGATTTCTCATTTGCATGACCATCTGCTTAGGCACATTTATGTTTCTTTAACTCCCACACAGCCAACCGGTGACTTATACTGCATCTATGCTGAGCTGAAGTTGGTTACAGTTCAAGTATGTGCTCCCACCAGGGACGCATACAATTTGAATTCAGAGTTATCCTTCTCCTATATTGATTGCTGTCTATGGATAGAGAGTTCAGTCTGCTGTACTATTTAACTCATAGTTGATGGAAGAATAGATGGATTAATACCTGTTCCCAAGGGTATTTGTGTGAAAATGAATATTACGATCTCAATCAGAATTTGAACATTGATGTCTCATTTTGAGCCTTTAATTATTATACCACCTGCACGTTTATTCATATCACACACTTTATTCATCATAACCATTGTAACAGTAAATCCCTACTTTGAGTGGCTCTTGAAACTTGTAATGGGTGAAATATAGTACACTATTACATTATTTGGACTATTGTCCTCATCTCTGTCGCCATATTTAAGACAACGTTTTGGCTGTTGTACACTCCTGCCTTCTTCAGGTGTTTGAAATGTCGAACTGAACCCTTTATTTCACTCACTGAGGTAGACTGTTCTAGTTTCACATGCCATGTTTAATGGATGTCAGTTATCAGTTATCTCTTGTTAATTCCCCTCTCCAAGTTCTCCACTGCTTTAACTGGGTATTGAACTCACATTCTTTGGGTCCTGTCACTGGATCTAACTAACGCCTTTATCTGCTGTGCCATGTGTCCTTGCATGATAACAGCAAAAAATTGCAATATGAGCACTGGTAAAAGAATGGTTGCTGAAGACATTAGGCTTATAATACCCAGAAATTCATACACAGATGTCCTCAAGGACATTGCACGTGGAACTAGAACAGTCTACCCCAGTGAACAAAATAAAGGGTTCAGTTCAACA